GGTTCGCCCGATGACGACCCACCCTATCTAAGTGCAGAACAACAGAACGTAGAACTTGTTTAATCTAACATGATTCTCATTCGTAAAGGGTAAATGTGTAATAACATGCAAATCCAAGCTTTCAGTATATAACACTAACAAATTCTTCATTAGGTTGCGCAACAAGCTCAAGGTTTCACCTTGCACCCAGTTCGAATTGAGGGGGGTTGTTGAAACTCATGAAAAATAGTCAAGGGATAAAGTTTGCTTACACTTTTGTCTTGTAGTACATACATATAGCATGTCCCACGTCCATTTTTACTGTTTGTGTTCTTCCTATTGTTTTCTCCTTTTTGCCCTTCTAGGTTTGTATCCCTCTCATATAAATACACATGTAAAATCTCTTTAGGGCTCGTTTACTAGGGTTGACAGGATTGGATAAGGTTGGTTAAAAAACCTTATCATTCATTTACTAGGTCTGTTAGGGAAAAGGATATAGCTGATGTGTGAAATGTGTGGCAGGTGGGTCCGGATTCATTAAACTGACGTGTTTTGATAGTTTTGTCCGGCCAATTCGGGCGGATATTTTTATCCCCATTTTTTGTTCCGATTTTGTCCCCAAAAGTGGACTTAACTTGACTTCTCTACCCCTCAATGTCACCAAAATTACAACTCTAGGAAATATAAAGATCGGAAAACTTGTCAACAATTTCACAGATCTTCTTCGTCTTCGGCTTGCCCTAGCTACCTCTGCCCATAAACTTGCAGCTTCTTCTTCTTCCTTTTTTTTTTTTGACTGCGTTCTAACCTAGCTACAGTCGCAGGTATCAAGTTCTTGGGTTGTTCGAGGGATCTCGGAGATCTACCGAAGAACGATTCAACACAGTAGGTAATGGCTCTGCAAATTTGGGTCTTCCAAAACTTTTTGGGCTTAGGGTTTAGGTTTTTTCTTTTCCCGTCAGATCTCCATTTCGGCTTGCCCTAGCTTTTCCCATAATTGCACTATGTTCTTGTCCGTTAATTGTTACAAGCATTTCATTTTGTTCGACGATTTTGCAACCTACCTTGTCTCACTCGTCTGTCATTGGACTATTTTCGACAAATTTCTAACCTACCTAGTGTCGCATGCCGTCAATGTAGTGAATCTGCAAGTTTGGTTTTCCAAAGTCAGCTTTTTTTTTTTTTTTNTCCCGGATTGTAAGTCGAGTAGAATATTTAGACATTTTATGTTCGTTTGTGGGTTGAAGAAAATTTTGCGGTTGCTTTTGTGTTGATGTGCTCTGGAATTGTTTTGTGGGTTGGAGTAAAATTGGGTTCTTTTTGTTTGGTGAATGAAATTTCTGGATATACAGGTTCATTGGGTTACCTGGGTGTTTAGGGTTACTGGTTCATTGCTTTTCTGTTTGCGGTTGCTTTGTTTAGCTTAGTGCCTTAATTATGGGCGAAGTGTATATTACGAATTAATAGGTTAAACAAAGGCTTCGTTTATCTTGGTTAATGCCTTGATTATCAGCTTGGATTAGTGTTAAACTGCTAAGAATTTGTCTACCTTTCATAGTTTGCTTAATGCTGTTACTGGTCTTATCTCTTTCTTGTTGTTGTGTGTATTATTATCTTCACCAAAAGTGGCAAACACATTTCAGTAGGATTATTTGATGAGTTTGGGCAAATTCCTTTTATTATAAATTCATTTTGAGGCCCCCTCCAGGTTTAATTTCATTTAATGCAATCATGTTCCTTGTTCATTTAATTTCATTTAATGCAATCATGTTGTGTGCATGTTTTATGTATAAGCTGCTAATAGTCCATTTTATTATTGTGTGGTGTCCTTATTGCTTTTCATTGTCGGTTGGATTTTAGAACAAACTTGTAAAGTTTCCGTAATAATGGAATCTTTGCTGCCGTATGTATGTGAATGAGTTCATTTTAATGCCCACGAGGAGCTCTTCTCCTAACTCTGGTACATGAGGGAGTATTTGGTTTGGTTGCTACGGTAGTCTAGAAGCATTGTTCGAGCTTTTTTACATTGTTTTTTGCAGATAAATTATGTGTTTTGTGACTGGGTGATCCATACCGTGGCTACAAAACAAAAAAAAAAGGCTGAATATGTGATCTGCACACTTTGTAATCTGAATAAATTTGTAGTTAATCATTTGCTACTCCTTCATCAATTTGCAGGGGTTATTCGACTGTGAAGTGAAGTCATTTTGTTCTTTATACATGTTGCTAATATGTTTTTGTTTGATGTGGTTTATTTTCCTTTAATCCAAGGGTTGATAATGACTAGAATATATCTCCCATGTTTACAATATACTGCCTTCTATATTTGGTCTCTTTTCAATGTTTATGCTGGTCTCAGTTGAAGGTGTCCTCGTCATTTGTACCCAGTAACAGAGTTTTACAAAAATATTTTGTCAGGTGGACGATTCGTACAAGTCCAGCATTCAGTTCCCTGTACTGTTCTAATTTCTCAGGTAATTCTTCAACTACTTGATAAGATCTTTTATTTATTTCCCCTTCAATGTTGCCTTCACGAAGAACACCTGACGGTATTTTTTATTTCCACCAATGCGTGCGTTGTATGCACGTGCTATTGTTTCATCCACATTTTTAGATGGATTCAATTGGAGAAGAATTAGCGGTTTTTACTATATTGGAAGTAATGAGTAGTGTTCAACTTTTTTTGCTACTTGCTATTTATTACTATATGAAATTCATCCTCTCTCGGCGAAAACGTCGACGTTCGGGCGATAACCACGTCCCGTTATTCCGAGTTAGTGATAGACTCCCCCATCAGCTCAATTACATGCGAAGGTTGATTGACGTGAGCGACACAACTTGTCTCGAGAACCTCCGTATGGATCGTCTTTGGCCGTTTGTGTCACCTCCTGGAAAGTTCGGGGGGACTTACCCAATCTAGAAATGTTCCACCAAGCGAACAAGTTGCTATTTTTCTGTCAGTCCTAGCTCATCATAAGAAGAATGTCACCTTAAAGCTTGATTTTGTTAGATCCGGTTGAACCATAAGCAAATACTTTAACCGTGTTCTCAACGTGGTCATCCGACTTCACAAAACCCTAGCTGTGCAACCAAATGCAATTGAGGTTGATTGTGTCGACGAAAGGTAGAAATGGTTTAAGGTAACCTACAACCCATTTCTCAACGTGTTACGAAATCCTTAGTTGAATCATTGAAAACTAATAAGTTTATGGTATTTCTTCATCTTTAGGGATGTCTAGGAGCTCTAGATGGTACCTACATTGACGTGCGAGTCCCCTCGATTGACAAGGCACGATATAGAAACCGTAAGGGTAGTATATCTGTCAATGTACTTGGAGTTTGTGATAGAAACATGAACTTCGTGTACATGCTATGTGGATGGGAGGGGTCAGTTGCAGATAGTCGAGTCTTGCGTGATGCGGTTACAAGGACGCATGGTCTACGTGTTCCAAATGGTAATATAATCATTGTATTCCATAAACACCATCATCCACTTTATGAATTTGGAATTAAACATAACCCCTAGCTTTTTTAATTTGTATACCAGGAAATTATTATTTGGTAGATGGTGGGTATACGAACGGTCCCGGTTTTTTAGCGCCATATAGGGGTGTCAGATATCACTTGCAGGAATGGGGTGCAGGCAACCGTAGGCCTCAAAACTTTAGAGAATTGTACAACCTTCGCCATGCTAAGGCTAGAAATGTGATTGAACGTGCCTTTGGCATTTTGAAGATGCGATGGGCAATTCTTAGGAGTTGCTCATATTATTCCATTCGAACACAAAATCGCATTATCATGGCATGCGCGCTCCTTCACAATTTCATACGTACAACAATGGCCAATGATCCCATGGAAGCACTAGTTCCTGAGATACCGGTTGATGGATTGTCCACAACTACGGGTGATGATGACTTGATAGACCAGGTGGAGGGCAGCCCTGAATGGACACAGTTCCGTGACCGATTGACACAAGATATGTTTGACGATTTGGATCATAATGTTTTTTAGTTTAAGAACAATTGACTGAATAAAATGACCTACGACTTGTTTACTTTGTTTGCACCATTTGTCGTGTCACGTTTTTTTCCATTGAGGATAGTTTTCCATGTTGTGCGTGTTTGGTTTTCTCCATTGAGAATAGTTTTCCATGTTCTGCGTGTTTGGTTTTGAATTTGTCATGTGGATTTATTAATGCATTTTTCCATTTTACTTCAAAACTGGCAGCCATATATAAATGATGTCGTTCTTTCGTTCTTTATTAAGCAATATCTTGATGTAACGAGTCCCAAACCAATCATGTTGTGCAAAACTATTGCAAGAGCAGGTACCATAATGGACTATTCATGTACCCAGCAAAGTGGGAGACCTTCCTCTTCACAAACAAGCAAACGACGTACGTGGAGTCCGGCAGAAGAGTCTGCCCTAGTGGACATTTTGAAAGACATGGTTAACGAGGGTTGGAGGGTAGATAATGGGTTTAGGCAGGGCTACAATTTCGAGATAGAGAGAAGATTGCACAAGAAGTATCCTGATTGTACCCTTCGTGCAGAACCCCACATAAGCTCAAAAATACATGTGTGGCGCAAGAACTATGTGAGCGTGGCACTCATCAAAACTACCTCAGGCTTCGGGTGGAGCGAGTTGACAAAAACATTTTCCTGCGACGATCAGGTTTGGAGTAACTGGATAAAGGTAATTGTCCAACGAAACTTCACCTCAACAATTGTGCTTAAAAAAAAAAAAAAAATAACCATGTCATAACCATTAATTTCCATTCGATGTATTTCGATAATGCAGGTAGATCTAAATGCGAAATCACTTAGGAACAAGTCTTTCCCTTACATCAATGATTGGGTGGAAATCTTTGGGAAAGACAGAGCAACGGGCGAAAATGCACAAGCCTTTGATGATGTAGCTAACGAATGCCCAGTACAACCTATGCAGTACACCCCGGCGTGGATGTAACAAAGTTGATATAATTAATGTGAAGACATTCGCATCTCCCAAATTTTCTTACTTGCTACCAGCGTATTGTTCAATGCTTGTAAGTGTTCCACCCTTTCCTGCAAATTCGTATTCTGTTCCTTCAAGTTATCATTCCTTGCCTCTAGTGCATTGACCCTCTTTAATAAACCCGGGATAATTCTTTGAGACCGTTCACACATAGGAGGGTCCAGCCATGATCAATATGTGCAGCCCAACGGCTATAAAAATTTTAGAACATTAGTGATCATAACAATTTTTTTACCTCACACCATAATCAGCTAAAAAAGATAGTACCTACATGTATTGTAAGGTCTGTGCAATTAAAATAACAAATCTGAAGTTGAAGAAACTCACATGTCAAAATGTTATGTCTACTTTAGAGTTATGTACTCAAACAATGTTGTAAATAGCCGAACTACATTGTACAACGTATGTCATCCAAATGTTAAGTATTAATAAATTTTAAAACATTAAATAAATAAATGATACCATACCTTTCCGATGGCGCAAGTCTGAAATCTCCTTCCCAGGTTATCGACCGTCCATGATGTCACAATTTTGGCCCTTTTTCCACACCAACATTCCCATAAACCACTAGTGTTCGATGATTCGGACATGTCGTAATCTACGAAGGTTAGCAAATGGTTTCACTTATATAAGAATATATCAACTAAACAAAACCGTATCCCCGTCACGCCTAACTACACAGGACTTGTGCTTCTTGTCATAGAGGTAAATGTTCGAGTATAAAAAACACACCATAAGAATGTTAAGGCTGAGTTGTGAACTTTACGCAATGAGTAGGGCTTATAAACTGTAGGAACCTGGTAAAGTCATGGCCAAACAACAAAACAAGCAGGTACCTCATCCCCTGCTACATTGTGAAAGTAACAACCAAACAAGCAAGCAACTAGTTTGTTATGTGAAAGTAACTAAGTTTTACGACCATTACCAACAAGACAGGAGAAAGGAAGAAATTGCAATGAACTTAACTTTACTGAAACTAACCATTAAAGTCAACATAAGTACAATAAATTTCAGCACAAAAAAAAAAATTAAAAAAATAAAATTAAAATAACAGCAGCCTCAACAATAAAAAACAAATAAGGCAACCAATAACATGCTTCATACTATGAAGCTTCATCTTCAGCAACCAATAACAAGCTTCCCCTAAAGCTTACTACTCTTGAGTATGAAATAATAGTAGGCTCAACAGATAAAAAACAAGGCCTTAAACAGAATTATAACAAAAAACAACCCAGAACAAGCTTCATCTTCTTCTTTAAATCGTAAACAAATTTTCTTCACCCCATGAACAACAACCAAGGCACATAACAGAGCACTCCATTCAGCAACTCAACAATTCAAGGCAATTTGACACACAAATCATGCTTTGCTTATCCGATTCATCTGTAGGAAAAACTAGCACGCATATTTAACCTAAAAAATACACCTAACCACACGGCACAACTTGTCAAATCCAGCCCAATTCACACAGTTATTTGCTTTCCATTTGACAAAGGCGCAGCAGAAAACAACAATTTTCGGGCATAAATTGCGTTAGGACTACAACAAAATTATACTATCTTTCAATACCCAAAAAGCAGACATTCAAGCCCGTTGAGGAAAACATCATAATGTGTACCTCAAAATGAAGACAAGGGAAAACGCACCTCCAATTTGACAATGGCGACACCTCTCGTACCTACTTCTCTGAACCGACGGTGCCAAACCCTTTTCAGACCGACCCGACAACCTTCGTCTTCGTCAAGTTTTGTCGTCTTCCCGTCTTCGTCTTCCTGACCTGGTGAGAGGAGTGTTGCGTCGTCTTCGGTGTTCTAGGGTTCCACAGATTAGAATAATTTCGTAATGGGGGTCGAAAAATTGGATGTGGTAAGTAGAAAGAGGTGAGGGTATATTTGACCTTCCAATTTTTTACTTCATTCTCAAAAAAAAGTAATAAACACATGATGGGATTAGAAAACATTGCATCCAATTTGGTAAACATGTATAATAAGCTGACTCATTGGACTATTAGTCCAATCCCATCCTATCCCATCAACCCTAGTAAAAGAGCCCTTAGTGGTTATGATGAATATAAAATGATGTTGAGCAATTGGCAGCCGCCACTGTACAGCTTTCGTTCTTGTTTTTCACATTTCCAGATCTGTAGCTAATTCTTCATTTGTTTAAATTTTCTTAGTTAATTTAGTCTAAAAACCAAACCAACTAGTGCGATTAGGATATTAGGACGTTATTTTATCTTTTTGTGTTAATGCAAGGAAAAATTGGAGATTTTGTCCTGTAAGTAACACTATTTGATGTTCTCGATACCCATTTTTGGATCACGTCCCGTAAGTGCAAAAAAACTTGAAAAATCGTCCTAACACCGGCTACAGCAGGTAATTCGTACCGGCTTGCTGAGTTGAAATTAGTTTTCAATGNTAAAAATTATTAACAAAGTAAATATATAAATAATAACTTTTTTAATTACCTTATTTAATTAAACTCTTATTATCATTAATGTTGTTTTTTATTCCAATTTACCTTATTGATTTTTTATATATTAAAAAAACATTTACTTTATAAATATATATATATTAAATAATATATTTAATATATATATATATAATATATATATGAAATAATATATTTTATATATATTAAATATATAAATATATTAAAAACGAAATATATATATATATTAGATAAATATATTAAATGATGTTTATATTGAATAAAAATATATTAAATAATATAATAAAAAAATATATTAAATAATATAATAAAAAAATATATTAAATAATATAATAAATTAATAAATATACTAAATAAATATATTAAATATATTTAAAATTAAATAAGGTAAATAAAAAAAGCAACATAAATGATAATAAAAGTTAAATTAAACAAAATACTATGCTTAGTAGTTATTTATTTTAATTTCATTATTTAAATACGAAATTTATTAAATAGGTATTCTCAAAAATAAAAATAAGTAACTAAATAAATAATATTATTTTATTTTTAATTATATGTTATACATAATTATATTTAATGTACTATATAATTTAAAATATATATTAATTATGAACCAAAACTAAATAAATTAATACATAAAAAATATTTTATGTTATTTTTAATTATATTCTTTATATCATTACAGATTATTGTATTATTTATTATTTAATATATTTAGTTTGTAATTTATTATTTATTATTTAAATTATAAATTATATTATGTTATTTAATATATTTATTTATTAATATAATAAATAAATAAATAAATAAATAATATTATATTTAACGTATTGATATATATATATATATCTATATAATATATATACTGATTTATTTCTTATATTATTCAATATATTTCTTTATGTAGTAAATATTTATTTAATATATAATAAAATTAATTAAAATTAAATAAGGTAAATTAGTATAAAAACATTAATAATGATATTAAAAGTTTATTTGTTCAACATAATTAAATAATATAATAATATTTATTGATATATTTAATTTACTCACCAATATACTCAATAAGAGGCCTAATATTAACTTTATTTAATCTTTTTAGGTTGATGCTCTACTCCGGGGAAAGATCGGCCCGGACCGTTTCCAGAGTAGGGTCTGCAGCTCAAATTAAAGCTATGAAACAAGTAGCGTAGGTGATTAGGAATACCAAGATACACAAAGTTTTTGACTTAACGTAAGAGAAAAAAAGCTTTTTGTCATTCTATAACTCATTCCTTAAAGAAAGAACCTTAAGGAAAGTATTTCTTTGAAACAGATTCGAAATCAACAAAAGAAAGGGAAGTAGACCTGTCGGAGTAAAGGATCGTCAACAAGGGCGAGAGATGGGGAAATACAATCCCTTTTGGGCCGCGGTTTCTTCCTTTCATCAATGGAGAGTAAGAGAGTAAAAGGCCTGGGATTCGAACCCGGAACTAGTCGGACGGAGTACCTAGAAAAATCAGAAGTAATCAGAGCTGTAATTGTTCGTACTTGTCTTTTCCTTCAAAAAAAATCAAAAACCCCAGTCGTTCTCTTATACATCCTAATCAGGAAGTTTAAGAGGTGTATTGCAATGGGAAGCTCATCTCTTCAAAGTCTTATTTCATAGACTTTTTCTTCCTTCTCTTTGTTGGACCACTTTAATGATTCTTTAATAAACTACATAAAAGCTCATTTCTTTCCTTAGTATTTTCTTAGTTCTTTTATCTCGGGTTGGTACGAAGGAGATGATAATAGCTTCGAAGTTTTGCGTTAGCAGCGAATAAGCGGTACACGAAACACCAACACAATCTGTAAGATAAGAATGCAAGTAGGAACCGTGAGTGGGAGCTTAGTTTCCGTCTGGGTATGCGACCTTGGATTGCTGTTGCATATTCAGCTCCTGTTGCAGCTGCTACGCATTCCATGTGGAATGAAATCCCAGGAGTCTACCGACCAGAAATGTTTCAAAAAAGGTAGGCATACGACGTAACATCTCTTTCTTCCCCCTTCTTTCCACCATTCTATTTCTCAGCGACGTGCTATGGTTCTTATCCAGCCTTCTGAGAATGAATCTGATAAATGGGCTTTAGCTTCTTGATTGACTCTATTTGAGTCTTTGGAGTACTTTGGGATTATATTCCGCGCCGAGGATTTGTGCATAAGACAGAAGTGGAAATTCCAGATGAGGAGATTAGCTCGGATTGGGATCGGGAATTGACGAAATAAGAGTTCTTTGAAACACTACCTGCTCTTATTCTCCTCCATGTGGGAATGAATCTGCACGCAAACCTCCATTTCTCCGACTCGTTGTCCTCCCCGGTTTGCCCTTCCCTTAAGGGGTCCACACCTGTAACCCAAGTTAATTCGCGAGGTTTTTTAAATCCACCGAGGGCGAATTTTTGCTTGCATAGAAATAGCCTTATTTGGCGGAGACCTTTATTCGACCAATTAGACCCTTTATTGATATAGAGGCAATTCATGCTCCTTTCCAAAACTATTAATTTAATTGTGGGTGGTGAGGACCCATATTGACTATCATAAGGTCTTTTCTTGTAGTTGGTACAATCCCGACTTCATCTGAGATTTCATAAGTTCATAAGGATAAAATAAGCAAAAAAGTACAAAATAGACTTCTTTTTTTTTTATTAAAATGAAAAAAAACCAGGTTGATGATAAAATCCACGGACGTTCCCATGGACCTTATGCCTTGGCAAAGAGAAATTTTACCATTCGACTATATCCGCATTTTTTCTTCGTGATACACAATATATCCACACATATATGATAATATATACCCCGGCCATATTTGTGCAGTGTCAGGCCGGCACGAGAGGCGGTGGTTTACCCTGCGGCGGATGTCAGCGGTTCGAGTCTGCTTATCTCCAACTGATGGACTTAGCCGATACAAAGTTGTATGATAGCACCCAATTTTTCCGATTCGGCGGTTCGATCTATGATTTAGCATTCATGGACGTTGATAAGATCTAAACCCTTCTTGGATCAAACCACAACGAAAAATGCCATTGCCAAAAAGTGATAAGGTAAATGGCACTTTCTCTCCCATATTATTATCTGGCATTAGGATCTTCCGGGTATAAAAATGTCCCTTGTGATTCAGCTCGGTGAGTTCCCTTGCTCATGAGTGGTATTACTTTTCTTTTCCATTCTTCTCATCGGAGACACAAGTGAAGGGATACTTGGGTAAGTATCCCGAACGGGTTCGGCGGAGGAACTTTAGGACACCCTTGGGCTTGTCGAAAGGGCATTTGGTCAATCTGTCTTTCCTGCCGAATGGAGGACTGGTAAACAGGTTTGAGCCGAGCCCCAGATCTGGAACTGCCCTACGGGGTGGAGATGATGGGGTCGGTCCATGGATTTTCCTTCCTTTTCTTTTGCCTAGTTGCAATTTCGGAAAAAGAGTCCGATTTTTCTTGCATTAAATCATTCCTATATGTGTAGATATAACCAACACATATATTTTTTCTGGATTCATTTGGAATAGAATTCTAGGGTTGGATTTTCTAACCGAAATGGGTTTATTTTGGAGCTGGGCCAACTTAGATTATTCCAAGATGTTATCTTTTAGTACTTTTTTTAGTTCTTTGTCCCACAAAAAACTTTTTGAATTCCCGGTAGAAAGAGATTTTCCTGAGGAAAACGCCTTTAACGCTGCCCAAAACCCCTTCCCTTTCCAACAATTTTTACGAATACGTTTTTTTGATGCAGAAGTACATTTTTTTGGAACTGCCATTTAGATAAAAATTAAGAACTTAAGAAAAAATCAAGAAAAGAAAGTCATGCAATCTCTAAAGTTTCAACCAATTCCTGCCAATATCCACGCCAGGAAATTAAAAACATAAATCCAGTAGCCCAAACTTGTTATTAGGTAGTTATTAGATGAGATTTTACGAAAAAATTCTTTCTAGGCGAGAACTAATCTTTTTTTTGTTCCCTTCGTTCGCTTACCTGCTTAACCAGCCAAGGATTAGGAGTAGGAGCACCGTATTTTTTTCTTTTATCTGAAAATTTATTGTATTTTCATCTAATCATTTTTCTTTTATGTTTCGAATCCTTTAGGAAACCTACATTTTGTCTCTGTGGGCCGGGGGTCTTACCTATTTGGTTTAGCTACACAGTACACAGATCGGGCCCCCCGCTTTCAGCTTGTTGGTTTATAAGAAAAGAAAGAGCTCTTACTGAAAGAAAGGACCTGCGGCCGTTAGGAAATTACAGCCTTCTTACTAATTTTTATTTCGTAATCAATAAATATTTAATAAATAAATTATGTTTAAATTCTATTATATTATTTAATATATATATATATATATATATATATTAAATATCTTTTTAATATATGAAAAATCAATATGGTCAAAAAATATTTACTAAATTAAAATAAATATAATTCTAATATACATTCATTTAATTAATATATATATATATATATTTCGTTTTTAATATATTTATATATATATATATTAAATAATATATTTAATATATATAGATTTAAATATGTGAAGTAAAATTATATTATTTAATATATTTACTTATTATATTATTTAATATATGTATTTATTTAGTAAGCATTTTTTTAATATATAAAAAATCAATAAGGTAAATTAGTATAAAAAACAACATTAATGATACTAAAATTTTAATTAAATAAGGTAATTAAAATAATATTATTTATTTATTTATTTTGTTTACTAATTTTTATTTTGTAATCGATAAAAAATTAATAAATACATTATTTATGAGTTTTATAATTAAAAGTAGTATCAATTGAATAATATATATATATATATATTTCCTTTTTTGGGATAAAACATTTCTGATATATATAAGTGAAGTTAAATATTTCACATAATATGTGTTAGGTTAAGTGGCTCATATTATTTTTTACATGCCATAGACCTAGGTTCGAGTCCCCCTTCCTACAATGTTTTTGTAATTGTGCACATAATTTGCACATCAGCAAAACAATAAAAAGAAAAATTAAAAACAAATTCCACCTCAGCAAGCCGGTAAGAATTACCTGCTGTAGCCTGTCAAGACAATTCTTCAGGTTTTTTTGCACTTACGGGTCGTGATCCAAAAGTGGGTATCGAGGAGGATCAAACCTCAAATAGATACCACTTACAGGACGAATCCTCTAATTTTTTCCTGTTATGCAACTTGTTATTGAAGATTAGCTCCACATAGCCCTTCTTCGAGAAGACGACCCGAGATCGGTCTTTTACGTAAATATATACGCAACATATACTTATACAATTTAAGAATTGAAACAATTATAATAAAAAAAATGTCAATCCTTATACAATTTAAGAATTAAATTACTATAACAAGTTACCTGTCTTCATCATACATTAAATGTTTGATACCGAAAATTGACCATGCATACAAATTTAAAAAATGGGCATACAAAATTTGGACCAGGTGAAAAACCCCTCATAAAATTATGATTATCAATTAAAGGGTTTCATTTTTGTCTTGATGTAGCGTACAAATTTATGATCAACAAAATTAAATAAAGAAGAAGAGGGTAATTTACAAAAGAAAATTGACCAGCAAGGACCCCTTGTCGGGCCCGTGCCCCTCAAGAACCGTGAACCCTATAACACACGGGGCAACAACCCGAGTACGGGCCACCAGCCAATGAGACGGTGACAGCACATCCCCTAAAAACCACCTGATTTTCTCTGGTTTCAGGGTTTTCACATCCCATCCCGAAAGTGCCCCCACACAACTCAACTAATGTGCTTTGCTTTTCAGACCACCACACAAAATTATGTTCACTAAGTATGAAATTATCAAATCCAAAACATTACTGATAATAATAATAATTATTATTTTAATCATAATAGTAATAATAAATTCTAATTAAAAGAAAACGAGGTGTCACCATTAAGAATATTTAATTAACACAATAGTCCGAAAATTATTGTTAACTATTGTATTTGTCTAGCTATTGACGAATAATTTTTCTTACTATTGTATTATATTTTCGTAAGTACTATTTTTACATTCTTGTAGTGTGTACGGAATGATATGGGATTTAATTAAGCCGAATGTGTGAAGTGTAAAACATTGAGAATACGTAAATCATAACATAGATTTTGCTAGAACTATTAATACTAAGTCAATATTTAATGACTTTTGTGAGTTGAAATGAAGTCTTGTAGAAATTTCAATAGCATCGATATTTTGAAATTTATGTATTTTTTTATACAACTTTATTGTTTATTTTATTCATTTTATGATAAAATTTCATTTCATATACTTATATATACATACATTAGATATATTGATAAAATATGTGATGTTAGTAAAAATTTATACGGGCTC